AAATGGCTTATTTTGGTTTTCATTTTGAGAAGTTTACAACTGATTGAAAAACAACTAGAAGACACCCATATTCTTATTCTTACTCAGGAGCCCTGGTGGCTCTGTAGTTACAGCGCTCAACTCCATGCCAGAAGGACAGCAGTTCAAACCCACCAGGCCCTCGTGGAAGAGAGAGCTGGCCAGCTGCTCCCACAATGATTGCAAGCCTTGGGGTGGGGTGGGGTTGGGGGTCCCGTCCCTGTGGGGCTCTTCTGCTCTGTCCTCCAGGGTCGCTGAGAGGCGGAAGTGACTCCACAGCAGTGGGTATGCGGACATGTGAAGTAGCTGTCATCACAGTGGGAGAGCCAGTGGACCAGATTTCGGGCTCATAATTAGTGCAATCTTGTAGAGATGACACCTCGGTGTGACCTTCAGCCTTGCTCTGTAATCTGAGAGCTCACACGTGTCTTTTCTCCTTGCTGAGAGAGCCTTCACATGGTGACTCTACCCTCCCTCTCTCCTCTCTCCCTGCACAGAGAGATGAGTTGCATATTATGTTCTCTTAGCCTCTTAACCTCTCTCACCTGCTCCTTCCTGTCCTGTTTCGAAAAGTCTCTGGACTGAAGGAGCTGAGGGCAACCAACCGCCTGAGGCTGCATCTGTGAGAGCAGATCGACCAGGAGCAGGCTCTAGTGTGGACTGGCCATTCGCCGTTCCAGAAACTGGGGTTGGGACCCCAGCCCTGGGCAAGACAATGTTTAAGGGTTCTGTGTGTACTGACATCAAGGCAGGAAACCTGTTCACCTGTCTGAAGCAGCAGTGAGTGTGTGTGTGTCTGTTTGCTTTTCCAGGATCTCTACCCAGCTCTGAAAGGGGTGGGCACCGTTTTCCACTGTGCGTCACCCCCACCAGGCAGTGGCAACAAGGAGCTCTTTTACAGAGTGAATTACCTTGGCACCAAGAATGTCATTGAAACTTGCAAAAAGGCTGGGGTTCAGGTAAGGGGAAAACTGGGTATGGTGTGTGGGGGCCTTGCACACATCTCAGCCTAGCCTGGGTTGCCTCCTGAAATGTCATAAAGTCAAGGGAGGAAGCCAGGGGTCTCCTGGCATGGTGACTGTCTGCTGGCCAGGACTCTAACTAACTGCCTACAGACCTTCCAAGGATCCTCAGACCTCATAGTCACTGGTTCCAAAGCTATATGGTGCATGCCTGGCCTCTATATTCAAAGATAAAGAAATTCTGTTCTCTTATAGAAAGAAACCTGTCTGAGTTCTGAGCTGAGGGGGTGAGTCTCCCCCAGGCCATAAATGCTTTTCCTCCATCTCACCAACATTGACTGCCACCCCCGTGGTGCACCCCTCAGACTCATGAGAGAGGAGACCCAACCGAGCCTGGGCTTTCCCTCCCAGCATCGCTCTCAGTGTATGGGCCAGCCCAGCATTCAGCTTTTCAGGGCTTGTGAAACCCTTTGCAATAAGGCCAAGCAGCTGCCGCCAAATCATAGGAGCACAGTGTGCCCTAGGGTTTCCCATGGAAGGAGATCGCCAGGCTGTTCTTCCAAGGCACCTGTGGGTGGACTCAAGCCAGCACCCTCTTGGTTAGCAGCTAAGCCCTTTGCTTTTCATAACACTTAGAACCCACGGTCACATTTCTGATCACAGTGTATGGCTACGGCTGGTGTGCTTGCCTTGAAATTGTAGGTCATTTGCAAAGAAACGCCGCCATCTGTCTCCTGAAGCATCACTGTAGGATGCCTCTCCATCCTTTGTCTTCCATGCCTTCCCATAGAGCTTCCCGCTGTATGCCCTGAAGATTGGCTACCTGTCTCCTTAGCACTCTCTCTGTGGGCCTTCGGGTCGGTATTGAACTAACCTCCCTTTCCCGTGGTTGCTTTTGGCGAGCACGTCATCTCTTCAGGACCTCTGCTGTCCTCACGACGCAGCAGCTGTCTCCGTCCCTCGTCAGCAGTTTGCCTTCTTCTTTCCCAATCATGGTATTCTCACCCTACCTCTCCGGCTAGAACTTCTAGCATAGCGGTGACTCACAGTGGCAACGATGGAATGTGAACTAAGGGTGTACAGTGTTGGGTGAGCTGCCCTTAACCAGAGAGCCAGAAGCGGAGGACCCTCGCTGCACAGTGACTCCTTTTAGAACAGCCTTTCTCCCCTGGGGCTGTGTGCATGTGCATGCACACGCGCACACTGCCGTCTTGGGATCAGAATCACCAGTGTTCCTTTTCACAGACCCCTCCCTCAAAGGTTCTGCAATAGACTCCACTCCCAACTGCTTGTGTGTGCTCCCTCTTTGTCCTCCCCCAGAAACTCATTCTGACAAGCTCTGCCAGCGTCGTCTTTGAGGGCGTCGATATCAAGAACGGGATTGAGGAGCTCCCCTACGCCAAAAACCCCATTGACTACTACACGGAAACCAAGATCCTACAGGAGCAAGTATGTGCTCAAATCGGCTTCGGTGGGGAATGGGTGAGGGCCCTGTCCTTAGCAAAGGGTCGACGGCCAGATGCATGTGATATTCGGGCCCTAAGCGTCCAGGGCTTCGCTGACACCTATGGGTCCCTGGCTGTGAATAGAGCACTCTGCACCTACAGGTCGTCCTGGGCGCCAATGATCCCGAGAAGAATTTCCTAACGGTCGCCATTCGCCCTCATGGCATTTTCGGCCCTAGGGACCCGCAGTTGGTCCCCATCCTCGTTGATGCTGCCAGGAAGGGCAAGATGAAGTTTATGATTGGGTGAGTCCCGCTTTTGCACTTAGCTCTTTCCCCAGGACTGTTACAGTCGCCCTCTGGATTCCTTTCTTCACCAGGTGCTCCCAGTGTGCTAGCTGTCTCCCAGATACACCTCCACACTCTTTATCCAGCCCCTTCCTCCTCCCCCAGTGCCTGGCTCTGCCCATCTTAATGCTCACTGTGTTAGGATCTCAGTGGGAAGCTGTGTCAGTTGGGTAGACTAGAGTAACAAATTCATGGAGACACTCGTGTATAAGAAAGAGATTTATATACAAGAGCAATTGAACATTCCCTAAGTCTGATATTAGCCCATATATCCGACACCAATCTATAAAGTCCTCTTCAGACTCATGAGACACATGCAGTCATGCCAAATGTAGAAGATCACAGGCCAGTGGGTAGAAAGTCCTTGGATCCAGTGTCATTGGAAACCTCTCAGCGCTGGCAGGGGTCTCTGCATCAGAGTGGGTCCACGTGTTTTGTCAGCTGCTATGTCTCCCAGGGTGTGTGAGAGAGAAGTGTCTCCCGCCTCCAAGGAGGAAGTCCCAGATTTCCCAGAATTCTCAGGAGAAGGCCATGCCCACACAGAGGTCGCATTGGCGATCTCCAGATTGACAGGCTAGACTCCACCCCTACAGTCTTAATCTTCCAATTGACACCGCTGTGAGACATCTTTCAAGCAGTGTCTCAGGCGCCCTGGTGTCTTAAGGGCTGGCTCTGCCAAGGCCGGGGCGGCTGCCTAAGCCCCAAGGGGGCTGGACGGGCCGCAGCCAGCACTCCCGGTGTGTTCTGAGAGTCCCTTTGTTCACATGCCTGCAGAAATGGGAAAAACTTGGTGGACTTCACCTTTGTGGAGAACGTGGTCCATGGCCACATCCTGGCGGCAGAGCGCCTCTCCCAAGATGTAGCTGTGTGTGGAAAGGTGAGTCTCAGCCTGCCCCCACGTCATTCTCACCAATGTCCTGGTTGGCAACTCAGCTTTCAGCTTGCCTTGCACACAGGCCAAGCCCCTCTGGGGCAGCTACAACCTGGTACTCAGTGTGGTGACGCTGAGCCAAGACTCCAGAAAGTTCTTTAGGTGGGCCGTCCAGGCTGCCTGCATCTGAAGCTCTAAGCCACTCCCTGTACCTTTTGTCCTCTTGTCCCTTAGGGATGGGGACTGAGTTCTGCCATTGTCATTAATGCTCACAAATTGGCCTGAAGTACCTAGCCTCTCGCTCTTCCCCCTGCACCCACGCATCCAGATCCAATTGCCATCTCCACCATCATCTGCCATTTGCATGGGCCTGGCCCGCACATGGCTCTACACTTGATTGGGGGGTCTTAGTAGCCACCTCCCTTCTGAGCTGCTCTGCATTGGCCTGGGTAGGGAGTAGCCCCAGCTTCCGGGACTGTGATTTCGGCACTGACTCACTCCCCTTCTCTCCCCAGGCCTTCCACATCACCAATGACGAGCCCATCCCATTCTGGGCGTTCCTGTCCCGTATCCTGACAGGCCTCAACTATGAGGCCCCCAAGTACTGCATCCCCTACTGGCTGGCCTACTACCTGGCCCTGCTGCTGGCCTTGTTGGTGATGGTGGTCCAGCCGGTGATCAAGCTGCAGCCCACCTTCACGCCCCTGCGGATCGCACTGGCTGGCACCTACCACTACTTTAGCTGTGCCAGGGCCAAGGAGCTGCTGGGCTACCAGCCACTGGTCCCCATGGATACTGCCGTGGAGAGGACTGTGCGTAGCTTTCACCACCTGCGGCAGGTCTGACTGAGCTCAGGCTCCACCTGCCAGGGAGCTAAGAGCCGCCCTGGCCCTTCTGTGAGCCACCTGGGTGCGGTACAGCTGCTCTCTATATCTGGACGTAGGAAATCTCCTTCCCCTCCACCCCCTCTGGCTCCTGAGCACAAATGTCACTTTGCAGTTGCCCCCTAATCCTTGTTGGCGTCCTTGCGTTCAAATTGAAGAGGTAAGACCCTGTCAGGAAGAAACGGTTGAAGGGACCACACATTAAAAATATCCTAGAAGAAAAGTGAAAGATATAAAGAAAGGCACATGGCTGCGACTTGAAACGGGGTGCCTATTTTACATCTCAGGGTGGTAAACTTCCAAATTCTCTGTCCCCACAGGGTCGCCTGCTTTGTTCTGTGTCAGCCCATTCTCAACAGCAGGGTTCCTGAGTGCTCTGCGGCGATGTGCAGACCAGCTCGTGAGAGTTTGCGTTAGGGAGGCCCCTTTAGTGACTCGGAGTTGGGGAAGAAACCCCTGAGATGTTATAGCCCAGCCCACGGGAGACCAGAATAAAGTCAGGATGTTGGACCTGTGCCATGTGCTTTATGTGTGTGACTGCTTTCTGACTGACTGAGGCAGGGACACAGGAAGCTACTGGGCCCAGGGGTATATGCGAGGGGACATCTAAAAGTACAAGTTAACAAAGGACTCAGAAGAGAGACACCCTTTTGTCTCACACTTTCTGAAGCCCCTTTGTGTAGACAGAAGACAGGTTCTCTGTCCCTAAAGTCCTGAGAACAGCGGGATGATGAATGGTCTCCCTTTGGGGACCTGGACGCTGTCTGATCTCACACCATCTCCACAGCCTTCCATTATGGGGTCCAAGGGGTGTCAGAGCCTGAGTTGGGACTTGACAGCAACCTCTGTATATCTACCCCTCCAGACCTAGGGCAGCATCAAGTGGTGTCCCTCAGCCCCAAGTGGGTGGGTGGCCTGCCAGGCAGGACCCTAGAGTAACAGGAGTAGGCCCCAAGCAGCATTTCACACCTGCATCCATATATGGGTTCAGGGGAACCTTGAAGCCCTGTGATGGCAGCCATTTTGAGGGGCAAGAGCACAGATTGCTGTGGGGGCAAAGTCTGCAGTGGAGGACGGGGCACACAGGTGTTCCTGGACCAGGGTGGACAGACTATAGGCAGCTGCGCCACTGGGGGGTTGTCAGTGACCAGATAGGAACCCTGCCCACCATTGACACCCTCCTAGAGTCTACTGAGCCTGCCCCCACTGTTTATCTTAGCTCTGCTGGTAAGCACCAGCTCTCCATGGACAAGAATTTGGTTACTAGTGTCTCTGCCTACTCCATGGAAGGAGCCCAGGATGCGGGCTCTGACCTGAAAGGCTTGTAGAGATGGACGGGGCCTGCTACCCCCACAGTGACCAGCTGGGGGAGCCCCAGAGAGAAGCACTTCCAGGGCTGGAAGTCAGACTCCAGTGCCCCTGGCCTCTTAGCCCACCTCACCCAGCTGGCCACCCAAAGCGGAAAGTAATCTGAATATGGGTTCCTATCGGGCTTCCCAACACGAGGGACTGAACGGGAGCAAATAAGTAGGAAATGGAAGATGGGGTGGGGGTCAGGTGCATATGTTAGACGCTAGAACTTTTCATTGGCACTACCTGCTGACTGCCTATGTGGTCATTGGTTTTGGAAGGCTCCCTGCCAGATCTGTTCTCATGGACTTAGCCCCAGGCGGTTGGTTCAGCCTTCAGAGAACTTTCAGAGGGATTTGGGCAGAGACCCTTTGACCTGCGCCGCAGCCAGTCCTCCGGCATGAGGGCGTCCGCAGAGACCACCCTGTGTCTGCAGGGAGGTGGTGAATGCCCTCGGACTTGGGAGGACAGAGAGCCCCGTTCGGCTCAGGAAGCAAGCTAGTGAGGTAGAGGTGGGGAAGCTGAGCAGGAACCCTGGTCATCTCGGGGAGGGGCAGGCGGCTGGAGGCGAGTGCTGAGCAGGCTCTCAGGCCCAGTTCCCAGGCAGGGCCCCAGCTGGTTGGGGGGCAAAAGGGCAGACAAGTCCTGACGGATTCTGTTGCCACGAACCCAGGGTGGAGCAACCCCACCAAACTGGCTGGGAGTGGCCAGTACTGCCATCCAGCGCCCTGCCCTGCCTGGCAGGCCCAGGGCCTCCAGCCTTCCTCTCTGCAAACTGCTCTTCCCAGCATTCATCGCTTGCTGGGCTAGTTCGGCGCCAACCAAAGATGGTGAAACCAGTCCAGTGGGATCCCACCACAGCCCTTGGCCGGGAGGTGCCAGGATGTCTGAGATATGACAGCCCAGCCCCCAGAGGAAGCTGTGCAGCAAGGCCCCATCCCAGCCAGCGGCAGAGCTGAGGCCCGGTCTCTTGGGACTGAAGGTGCAGCCATCTCCGGCTGGCCCGAGGCCCCAGTCCCAGGCTATGCAGTGAACTCAGCTCTGCACTGACCCTTTGGGGCCCTGGCCTGATGGACAGATTGTTCCCTTCCGCAAAGCCAGTTCCCACTGCCTAGGGCTGTGGGTGGGGCCTCTTCCTGGAATGCCTTCTGCCCTCTCCCTGGCTGACTCCTACTAGTCTCCTGGGCTGACAGCCAGACCAGGTGAAGATCCATCCCTCTGCCCCCTCCCCTGCGTCCCCACCATGCCGCCCCTGAGCTTCCTGCACTGGTCGGAAGGCAGAGGGCTCCTCTGTGAATGCCAGCAGGGTTTCACCGAACAGGAAGGAGGGAGAAGCTGCCCTGTTAGAGCAGTCATGAGAACCCAGCGATAAGGAGAAAACAGTCATGACCCAGGGCCAGAAGGCTCCTCCGCAAACCAAGCTCAGAGCATCTGGGACCCGGGTTTCTCCTCCAATACTGGAAACGGACTGACGACAGTGCTCAGGGAGGGGCTGAGATGTAGATACAAGGTTCTTTCTAGAAGGAAACCCCAGTTGTGGAAGAAGAGCTATGAGCTCCTCCACCAGCCTTCCCAAAGCCCTGACCCTCCGGGTCCCTCCCAACCCCTAGAAATCAGACTTCTGCCCAGGCAGAGTCCCATCTCCTGCAAGGCCACTTCCAGCCCAGCAGGCCGGTACGCCTGAGAGCAAACAGCACTCCTGGGCTTCAAAGCACTTTGGAAATACTAATTAACGCGGGGTTAATTGGATGAAATAAGCTGAAGCTCCAGTGACATCACCCGCATGCTCTGCCCAGATCTAGCCACAAGCAAAGTCTGGTGACTACTAGGCTGTGAACCTCGTCATGTGGTAACATGTCAGGCCTTGCACAACTGCCCTGCAGTGCAAGGACTGGCCCTAGGGGGCAGGGGGGGGGGCGTGTCGCTGACTCTGCCCTCAGCACCACGCGCGTGCGCACAGGGTCCCTGTTCACCTATTGCACACCACATATTGTTAACGGTGGTTACAAAACTTCAAACATTCGGCTGAAGGACCCAGGGGTGCTAGAATCCACTGGCAGCTCAGAATTCACTGCAACAGGAAGGATGCCCTTGGCACTCAGGTTCAGGAACCCAGTAGGGATGCCTTCCTGGACCCAGACGAGTTGCTGCTTGCCAGGCCTGGAGGCAGGAGGCCAGTCAAGCCACACATCAGAGGGGGCGGGTGATGGAGGACAGAAAGCCATGGAACGTAGTGGGCCGTGCTAGAGACCTGGGGCGCAGCTTTCAGCCCCCTCTGCCGCATTTCATCCTCACCCAGCACCCAGAGGTGTTCACAAGGCACATCACCCTTCAGCACTCAGTACCCATCACCCTGGCCTGCCATACCCAGAAGGGAGCCTAGGGCAGCACCGAGAGTGAATCCAAGCCGTTCCCCTTCACGCCCTCAGCTTCTTCCAAAGCAAACTGCTCAGAGCAGGGGCTCTGGGGTTCTCGCTTGGGGTTAGCTCTGCCGCCTGGAGATCCCACGTGTAGCAGAACAAAGCTGCCGGATCAGACCCCATCTTTTCCACCTCTAGCCCGAAGCCACTGTGTATTCTGAGGCCTTTCTGACCCCGGGGCTCATTGTCCAGCACCTTAGCAGACAGGAGTAGCCTGGTGGGCGCCATAGGGTGTGCGTGGCCTCATTTTCAGAGGTAGGTCAACAGGCCTTTCTTCCTAGTCTGCCTTTAGTCTGGTAGCTCAGCAGACACCTGTCCACCATGGACAGTATTTCAAATACCTCGCTGGTGTTTGAAATCCTGGTGGCATAGCTTCCTGCAGGTACACACAAGCCACCACAGGAGCACAAACTGACAGAAAGGTGGTAGCCCTGAAATGTGGGCGTATCTAAGGGTGCCATTAGAACACGACTTACAAAGAAGGCAATCTTGTTAGGTCTCCTTGATCAAGAAACAATATGGTAAGCACCCCAGGAACAGCCCCTTCTTGCCCCTCCTGAAACCTAAACCTTGCTGACTTTTCCTTTAGCAACCAGGAGCTCCGGTCGCATAGTGGGCAAGGCGAGCAGTTAGAAACCACCAGCTGCCCAGAGGAAGAAAGATGAGGCTTTCCTACTCCAGTGAAGAGAGCAGTGGTTCTTAACCTTCCTAATGCTGTGGCCCTTTCATACAGCTCCTCATGTGGTGGGGACCCCAACCATCAAATGATTTTTGTTGCTACTTCATCACTCATTTTGCTACTGTGATGAATCGGCCGACCCCTGTGCAAGGGTTGTTCGACCCCCAAAGGGGTCGCAACCCATAGGTTGAGAACCACTGAGTTGAGAGTCTCTGAACCGCACAGAGCCAGTTGCACCCTGTCCTATGGGCTCACTGTAAGTCTGCAAATGAACTTGATGGCCCGAGGGTGGCTCCTTGAGTATTTTTTAGGGCGCAGATTCCCCTTGCCAACATTTGGTATTTTATGTCCTTCATTTTAGAAAAATGTCCATGGTTCTAGTTGACATTTTCCTCAGAACCCCAAGATTGAGCCGCTTTTCATCAGGGGAGTCATTTGGCTATCGTCTTTGCACCTGTCCTTAGCTGCTTTTCGAAGGGCTTGCCAGCCGGGGGTGATCTCTCACTTTCTGAATGGGGTATTGTGAGGAGCAGAAGTCCTTCGTTTTACTGTAGTTCAATTACCCACAATTCCTTTGATACTTAGCCCTTTTCCTATCAGGTTTAGGAAATCTTCCATGACTCCAAGTTCATGAAGATGATAATCTCCTGTGCTTTTTTGCCCTTTGTGGGTGCTTCCTTGTGTTCTGCCTCCCACATATGGGTCTGCAGTCTACCTGGAGCCAGTATTTTCATCTCATGTGCAGCAGGGTTCTGGATTTCATTGTGGCCCGCTGCCCTCCTTTCCAAAGCTAGGTGGGAGAGCACTATCCTTGGAACCTGTGAACATGACTTAGTTTAGAAACAGGGATTTTGTAGGTGTTTATCAGTTAACATAAGGTCTGAATCCCATCTGAGTGGGAGAAGAGACACAGGCTGACAGAGGGAGAATGGCAAGTGTTGCCATGAGCCGAGCCTGGAGTTACCAAATACCAGGCGGGACCCCTGGGCACACACTCCCTCAAAGCCTCAGGCGGAATCAACCGGGCCAACAGATAGCTGGATCTCAGGCTTCCGGCCTCCAGAAC